TTATTTTCGGGGAGGTCTTATTTTCGGGGGGGTGCCTTATATTTCAGTGAGAGGCAAAACTGTAAGTAGGTCTTATTTTCGGGGGATGCCTTACTTTCGGGGAAACAGGGTAGTTACTGATGTTGTAAACTATCAGAACAAGACTTTCCAAGGGCCCCCGAATCCATGAAAATACATATTTCTGTAGAAAGGCAAGCTTTGGTTAGTTCATCTTCCAAAATGGTTTGCATCTGTCTGACCCCAGGGCTATTAATGTGACATCTCAAAACAACTTCCCAGAGACCCTCAGAGATAACAAATAACTCCTCATCTTGCTGTGGTTGCTGCTGCTGCTACTGCTGTTGCTGGCTGTTAGTCTAGTCAAACCTCCCCTCAACCTGTCATGGCAACCCATGGGATTGGACGATACAAGGTTTTCTTTTTTTTTTTTTGCAAGGAAACCTATCTTTATTTTTTTTTTCTTTTTTAACATTTTATTAGGGGCTCATACAACTGTTATCCCAATCCATACACACATCAATTGTGTAAAGCGCATTTGTACATCGTTTCTCAAAACATTTTCTCTCCATTTAAACCCCCGACATTAGGTATTTTTCCCCTCACTCCCCGCTCCCCCCTCCCTCATGAGCCCTTGATAGTTTATAAATGGGTATTTTGTCATATCTTGCCCTGTCCGACGTCTCCCTTCATCCACTTTTTGGTTGTCTGTCTGTCCCCCAGGGAGGAGGTCACACACAGTTCCATGTAATCGGTTCCCTCTTTCCTACCCATTCTCCCTTTACCCTCCCATACAAGGTTTTCATTGACTGATTTTCCAGAAATAGATCACAAGCAGTACTGTTTTCCTAATCTGCTATAAACTCGACGCTCTGCTAAAACTTCTTCAGCACCATAGCAACACATCAAGTCTCCACTGCATTCTCTCACTCCTTAGTTCAAGTGATCTGAAAACTGGGAACTGTAATTTCCTTCTCAAATTTCCCTCCTCACAGGCTTGAGACTACTGTACTCTCCTGCCCTTGGGAAGTTACTGAGCACTCCCAGTCAACAACCACCACTTCACCTATCCTATGCAGTTTACGTCTTCTTTTCTCTTTTGAAATGTAACCCATCAACCTTCTCACTTTCCTGCCTGTAGAAGGAAGTCTTATTTTATCTTTCATTCAATGCTCTCTGCCCACCTCGTCTATACCCATTATCTTGGCCTATTTCCTTCATTTTGACAGATTTCTTCTTTCTTCATTTGAACACATTCACATGATCTTCACAACTAATTCGGTTAGAGGGGTTTCTTTGCTCTAGTCCCAATCTTCTGCTTGCCAACATTTTCCTCAAGCCTGTTCCTGTCTTTCTATGATGCTTAGTTAACACTATGGTGGGCATCATGAGAAAATAACACCTCAGTCTCAACCCTCTAAAGAGTTTAGGGATAATTATCAAACATGAAATATTCCAAGAGCAATTAAGAGTTAAAGTGTGTGGCAGAGAGAAGATCAGAAGACAGTGAGTAAAAGATATGATCAAAATTGTTGGAATGAGCCAAGAATGCTCCACGAAGTATAGCAAACTCAAGGAATCAAAAGACAGACTAGGTTATTAAAAAAAAAGTCCTAAACCAAGCAGAGAGTTAGATAATGTAACAAGATCTTGAAGTGGTAGAATGAAGAAAGAAGTTTTAGGATGATACTGGTGTTGAATATTCAAGGAGGGTTACTGATTTGTTGCAGGAAGGGAAGATGATGAAATCACAAGTAACTATTGACATGTACCCACACTCATTGCCATTGAGTAGATTCCAATTCAGATCAACCCCACGTGGATCAGAGTAATACTGTGCTCCATCAGGTTTCTCAAAGCCTGAGTTTTCAGAAGTATATCACGAGGCCCTTCCTATGAAGCACCTCTAGCTGAACTCAAACTTCCAATCTATCTGTCAGCAGCCAAGGACTTAACCACAGTAAGCACATTTCTGGTTTGTGGGAAAGGCACTCAACTGAAGATGATCACTAATCTTTATCACACTTGTAAGAATGGGAACAAACTCACAAACAATACTATAATGGAAAAGAGATGGGAGAGGGGGCTGACAAACTACAAAGAGATAAAAATTTCCCCTCACAAATGTGTAATTAATTTACAGTAGCAGATATATTTCATGGATCTAGTCCATTAAAAAGTTCACCTGTTTCCCTTGGCAAAAATCTTAGACCTCCTGCCAGGAAAAAAAAATTAAAAAGCTTTTTGTGGATGGATGTGTTCAAGATAATAACAAGGGTGCTCTAATCAAAATAGATGAACCAGAATAATCTGGTCAACTTCACAACTATGTATTTTTTTCACAACTATATTTTTTAATAACTAAGTATTTGATATTATTTTTCTAATCCTTATAGATTCATCCAGTACTTCCAGGAGTTATAATTATTTTATCTAGTTTGTTTACATTCTCTGGGGTATTTGCCTTTAAAAGGGGGATATAGTGGAATGAGTAAGATATGTCAATAAAAATATTAAAATTAAAGATAATAATAAAATTAAATAAAGATCTTATAGTGACAGAATTACACACAAGAGAGAAATAAATGAACCCTCCAAAAAATCTAAATGAATTCATTGAAAACTACAATTCAAATTGAGAAGTCATTAACATTTCGCAGCCATCCACATACCCAGCTTAAGAGAATGAGTAGCACAGAGTCCAGGACAATAGACTTAAGATTTAAGTATTTAAAAAATATTTGAGTATTTAAGATTATACAATTTGGGGGGTTGGGTGGAAGGCATGTTCTCCTTTCAGATGCCAATGCTCCATGAGGAAAATCCTCTGCTCCACTATTCTCCCTCCTTCAAGGTCATTTGTCATTAGCACAACCACCTACAGAGGAGGTTTTATTAAAAGAAAAATCCTAGCTTAGGCCTGCCAGATCTTTTCCTAGGACCCACTTATCAGGGTGTCGCTTGGGGTTACAGGCAGCTGCCAAATGATAGAGAGTTAACTTTACTTTATATGTACAGAAGCCCTTCAGCAAGCACATTACCTTGGTCCCCATTAAGTATACTGATAACACCACCTCCATGAGCTCAACACGTAAGCCAGCAGGAAGCCCTTAAGTGTACTTATCTTGCAAAATTCTTTAGCTATTTTTAACCCTATGGTGTTCAATACAAATTAAATTCAAAAATTACATTGCAATTAAACCTTTTGTCCAGCTTAATAAAAGATCCCTTCATTTGGAGAGGTTTAGAGAAATATATTTGCATGTGGCTTATTGATTGATTTATAGGTAGACCATGCGTTGGGGTGCAATTCATAAGGACAGCTTTTCAGCAGTTGGAAACCACCAGCCACTCAATGGAAAAGACAGGGCTTTCTACTCCAAAGAGTTACAGTCTCCAAAATCTCACAAGGACAGTTCTACCCTGTCCTATACGGTCGTTATGAGTCAGCACTGACTGAGTTTTTTACTTTTTCCACTTTACTGAGCATGAATTATTAGGGGGCTTAAAAATTCTCCACGTGCAAGTTATTAGTGAACAGGCCTCTCAGAGACAAGTTCTGGGCCAAATAGCGCCTCAAACTCATAAACAGCATATGAAATGGGGCATACCAGGCAGCTTATAGGTCAAATAATTCACAATCTCCTGCTATGTCTCAGCTTGGATCTGGTCCAAAGGCTCCTCAGCCTATGTTTTAATGTGCAAATAAGTGTTAATAAATAGAAGAGAGGACGGGGGCAGTTGCAATGTGCTCGTACACATTGACAGTTTTCACTTGTTCGGTACATTCGAATCTGAAAGCTACTGTCTGCTTACGATTTCCAAACCAACCATTTTCTGTGACTATGAAGGTAATGCTAACTGGGAAGTGATAGCTTTGTCAGTTAAGGAAAGGGGTAACAGCAGAGCTGCAGTCTTCGGTTGGAGGGTGGGCGAAAACCTGCAAGTAAATAGCCTTTCAGGGAGACGGAGGGAAGTGGGGAACGGGCCGTCTGGGACCAAGGATAACTATGTTATTCTTAACACGAAGTTCTGACGTTTGCTTTTGTGAAGGAGCTCTCTAGCCCTCAGCCTGGGAAGGATCTGCAGTGTTCGAACAAATCAAGAGAGGAAGGAGCAGTGCCAAGAGGTACTTATGGAAGGCAAAATGTATTAGTGTAAAGCCAAACCTTCCCCAGATGACCTGCCACCAATGTGGAATGTCCAGGCAGCCACCCATCACCCCCCACCCCCACCCCCGCATCCCACTCTGTCCTCTCCGTGTCTCTCTGTTTGCTGCACTGAGCATTCCGTAACAAAACGACACGTTCACGGTGCCTCTACACACACACACACACACACACACACACACACATCTGTGCGCACGTGAGCTCCGCTGCCTTTCCACACTTGCAAGCTGTCAGTACCCACAAAAAGCAGCAGCCCCAGGTGACCAAAATGATCGCAGCACCTGGACTTGGTGAAAATCTTGGGCAGTTTCCTGCTCACCCACTCCTTGCCAGGTCATGGCGCCCCCAAGGACAAGGACGGGAATCCATTTCTCTGTTCCTTCGGTGACAGCGCACGTTTCCAGACAGAAAGCCCGAGAAACCGCGCTGCCGCGGAATTCTGGCCAAGAGCTACGGGGGCTGATTCGGGCCCCGGCCCCAATCCACTCTGGGGGCACTATGGCTGACCGAGAAGGTAGGCGCCCCGGCGGAGGAGGGGGCTGCAGTTCCGAGGTGCTGCTCTTGCGGGCCCCCGGACCGACCCTTCAGCCTCGCCCGCGGCTGTGGTCTTGCAGCTCTAGGTCTCCGGTTCGGACACGAGCGTGCACAGACACGCACGCTGCCCCTCCTTCACCCCAGTCCACAACCCTGCGCACTCTGGGCGATTTCCAGCTCCGCCCCCATCCCCAACGGACACCCAGCAACCGCCCGCCGGGGCAGCTCTGGTCCGCACTCCTGGTCTGACCCGGACCCCGCTCGCGAATGCCGGGAGAACACGAAATACGCGGGGCTTACAGTTCGCAGGAACTGGATCTCGTCCTCGCCCTCGCCCCCATCAGCCATGGCTCCGAGCCTCCTCTCCGGAGCCGGCTGCGGAGCCCC